CCCGTCCTGCTCGGGCGCTCACCGTGTCCAAAGAAGCCGCCGCCCTCATGTCAGGCAGGAAGCCCACCTCCAGCACGTGCAGGAGGAAGTCCTGGTTGTCGATGCCGTAGACCCGGTCCAAGAACAACACCATGGGAGCCTTGTGGTCAGGCACGAAGCTGGCAGACATCTTGGGCTCGATGACGTTGCCGTCTCGAGAAGGCAAGGGAACAACGTAAGCCTTAGGATAGGGGATCGAGGGACTGTAGGGCAGGGGGAAAGCTAGGGATTCCTGAAGCCACCTCGGGCATGAACAGTGAGGAGGCAGGCGGGAAAATCAGCATTAACCGAGACCTGAAAGTGGGGAATTTGGGGGAGGGGGAGGGAAGAGGAAACGGCGCTCCCTGACATCCCTCTTTGCCCCACCTGGCTGGCTTACCTTTGCCAAACGAAGGGATCTGCAGGGGGAGACTGATGACCCCAACCAGGTCTTCGATGGGGACCAAAGAGCGCAGGATGGCCCTGATCCGGAGGGCTTCGCCCTTCCCAGCCTGGATGAGCTGTTCAGGGGAGGAGGTGAAGACAAAAGGAAATCAGATGGATGGGACGCCCTCGGGCCCAAGGACAGATTGGGAGGGAAGGGGGGGCTGAGAGCGAGAGCCGGCCAAGAGGAAGCCGGAGGACGGAGAGGGAGGGAACTGGTGCCGGGTGAGAGGTGCCGAATAGGAAAAAAAAAACATGCACAGCGTTTTTCTGAGGACAGGAAAAGGGACCCCCGTTCCTACGATTTAGGAGGATGAAGAGAGTGGGGTGGTGCTTACATGCATTTCGGGGGCACAACGCCCCAGCAAGTCGATAAGTGCAGCGTAGAAAGACATGACTGCATTGCCCAAATGCACCCGGTACTCTTCGTGGGTTTCCTCTCCCCCAAACCTGGGTGAGAGAGAAAGAGAAAAATGTGGAGAGAAGTAGCAGGGTAAGGCAGCATCAGCCCTACATGCAGCAAAGGTGGGGGGCTGGGTGGATCATGGGGGGAAGGGCAGAATCACAAACGCAAAGCCGGGGTTTAACGTGTGTGATGAAGTGCATGCAAAAACGCAACTCCAGCCAGAGAGCTTAGGGAACTGGTCAGAAGACTAACATGGAACGAGGCAGAATACAGTAGGACCCCCTTATCCACAGGATTCACTTATCCACAGTCTGAAAATATTTTAAAAATTAAAGGAAAAATCCCAGAAAGGTATATATTTCTAAAGATGGTCACCAGAACTAGTTGCAAGAGGGAGTTAGAGACCATGCTATGGGTACCATTCACTATTAAAATAGCGTTTGCTCTAATCCATATTTTTCAGTAGCCACAGGGTGCTTAGAACCGATCCCCCACGGATATGGGGGCCCCTACTATACAACGATGTACTGGAATACTACATCCATGTTAATGTTTCCGAATTCTCAGCTCTTTCTTAAAAAGACCATGTTTCCAAGCTCTCATGGATTCGTGGAGGGAAAGAAAATTAAATGGGGAGGAAGCAGGTTTTGTCTCAGGCTCAAAACCCCATCTGGTCTTCCATCAGCATGTGAAGCAACCGTAGGTGGGGATGGGGAGGGTGAAGGTGAGTCACAGAGCCTACACAGAAAGTACACGTGAAAGGTGCATTGCGGCAGGTAGAGGTAAGACCCGTTCCAAAAAGACTATGCTGGTGTCCTGTATCCACATCGAATCCCGCCCCTACGAAGCATTTCCGGCCCCCTGCAAGCTTTCCCATGGGCCTCTCCCTTTTCCCTTTTCACGCACAGCTCCCGACGGCGGTCCTTCTTGATGGTGGGCCCATCGCGGGCAGGATCCTGGGAGATCTGGATGGCCTCTTCAATGGCCGCCAGAAGGCCATTGCCGCCTTCCCCTCGCAGGGCCGGGCCGAAGCACTCCGGACGCCGGATTAACAGGCGCACGACCACGTTGGCATTCTCTTCCACGCTCTCCCCTGTGGGGAGAGACGGGAGGGTTGAGGGGCAACGGGAAAACAACATTAAAACAAGCTGCAGGGGGCGGATGGGAAGACAGTGACTCAGAATAAGGACTCTAGTCCTCATGACTGTGGTGCCAAAAACCTTGACCTCTGTTGTGGGTGGTTTCCAGATCGGTCCCTTCATTGGGGCAAATATTACAATAGGGGTTGGTTTGTTTTTTTGAAGGGAAGGAGGGGAAAGGCAGTGGCTGAAGCTCTTTGTCTGAAACACCTGGCAGGACTGATTTGGCCCATTGACTGCCTAGTTCGTGACCAGGGCTTTTAGGCTTTTATGATTTATATCTCACCTTTCCTCCAGAGAGGTGAAGGCGGTGCAGAGGATTTCCCTTCTCTTTATTTCAGCCTCAGAAGAACACTTCTGTGAGGGAGGTAAGCCTAAGAAGACGGACTAGCCCAAGCTAATCCTGAGAGCTCTTATCGCTCTGTGGAGACTGGAACCCAGATCTTTCCCGTTCCAGTCCAGTCCTCTCACCATTACACCTCACTGTCTCACACAGAGAAGCCCCCATGTGGCTCATATGCTCCCCAAACCAACACCAGGGTGGTGCAACGATTACAGCTCAGCTCAATTACATCTCTACCACGTTCAGCAATGACTCCTCCATTCTGAGAAACCACCCATTTGAAGATGTTGTGTCAATGGGAGAAAGATGATGGGAACACAGCCAGGCACCCCCTTCAGGAGAATGACCGGCGTGGTGGCAGTGGCTTTTATTTGCCATTCTTGAGTTGTGACCGGGACAATTCTAGCCTCGTCACTCTTTGAAAACCCCCCCCAGCCCTAACCGCACAGCCGAGCTCACCGTTGACAAAAACGGTGAAGCGCAGAAAGTCCAGGTACCGCTCGCCCCCACAGGGGTTCCAGCCGATGTCGGGGTACCCCTTGGAGAGCAACATGGGGCAACTCTGCAGGCCTGCCCCCGCCAGATACGTCACCACCTGGAAAGGATGGGGAAAAAACCTGTCAGATTCGCTTTCTCCAGCATTTAAAGGTATTAAATCTTGGGGTTCTGGGGTGTGCATGGGACAGGGTAGAATCCTTTTAAAAGGAGAAACACAGCTCTGAGAAGCTTCTGGGGCAGCAACTCACCTTTCTGGGGGAGGTGATGACATTTTAGGGGGACAGAGGGGCAGGGGAACCTAAAGGACGAAAGACTGGGTGGAGGGGAAAGAAAAGGGAGGGAGGCATTTAGATCCAAAGCCACACTTTGTCCTGCCTTAGGCTGAGAAAGGAATTGTGCTTGTAAGTAAGGGATGCAGGTCACGAAACATAATAAAAGGTTGCAGGTAACGGACAAAGCCGTACTCATGAAAATCAAAGGTTCAAGGATATGTTATTGATCTCTGGCCTTTTTTCAATCACCCGCTCAAACCCAGCCGCTTGAGAAAGGAAGAGGTGGGATGTCGTTGCTAGGTGACCACCACCAAGCTCATCCCAAGCCTTCCTCACTAATTGGACTAATTGAACCTTCATGTTTTTTCCTCCTCTTTTGTCCCACGGTTTGGCTAACTCTCCCCCCACCGCACCGCCCCAGCCAATGGCTCCTCGGGTACCTTCTCCAGGTCTTGCTCCTGCAAAGCCAGGGCCAGCTCATTGTTATCAATGACGGAAGCAGCCGCCACGTCCAAGGGAGTGGATCCGCGCATGCCTAAAGAGGAAAGCGAAAGGTAAGCAGGCGCCTCCCAAAAATCAAGGGCAAGGTGCAGGCCCTTGGAAGGGGGGGGGGAGAGGAAAAAAAAAACAGAAAGAGAGAGACAGATAGAGAGGACACACCAGAGACCTCTGAAATGGAAGCCAGGACAACATGACAGGAGATCAACCTGTCCTTGTCCATATTAGGTGCATGAACGAATGAATGGACTAGAATACATGTCTAACTTTTCCTTACTATCTCGACGGTTGCTGTTTCGCCCAGAATCAACCTACACTGATTAACTGATTGACTGACTGATGGACTGATTGAATGCTTGATTGTATACCTCACCCATCCAGTGGCCAAGCCACAACTCTGGGCAGCTACAAAAAACATAAATTGGAGGAACAGAATTAAAACAATAAACACGGGGAGGGGAGGGAAGAGTCCACACTAAAAACACCCTCTCTAATAGGCAAGCTACATCTAAAAAGTGACATCTCAGACCTTTGTAATATATCTTAAATATCCATCAATCACAGTTCAATGAAGTTTTAGCCCATTAGCTACATCACCAGACACACCCCAATCAGGAAAAATCATATTTAGTTTAGGAAAATATTCACATCTAATTTTTAAAAAAATGTTTGAAGAACTCTCCCTGTCCTTCCCACGGAGGACCCAAACATTCTTGAGATGCATTTCTTGCCCACTTCATGCAAACACCCTCTAGCACTTTGATGCTCGTGAGTATCGTTCATGTCTCTGCTCCCCAGAGGGCCCGATGCTCACCCAGTCCGATGCCGCTGTTCTCCAGCAAGTAGCTGAGATGGTCGAACATGGAGCGCTGATTCTGGCGGCTGATGCGACAAAAATAGCACAGGAAACGGCAGCAGTTGGTCACCATCTTGGGGAAACGGATCTCCTACTCAGGGATGAGAGAGCTTCCTTTACATCTTTGACAAATGTCCCGCCTCATCTCCCCAACCTCTACTCTCTTGCCCCACGCTTGTCTCAAGGTGGTTCCATGAATCGATATATTAGATTCTGTCTTAGAGGGGTGTCAACGGAGCCAGAGTATGTGAGGGACGAACTGGACTCCCCAAATAGGGTTGGCACGTGATCTAAGACACCTCAGTTATGAGGCAAAGAATCAGAACATGGCTCCTCAAAAGTGGAGCCTCCAACCGGCACTCAAAATTTACCCCTTCTAGCCATTTCTAAGCCATTTAGAAAGCTGAAGTCTGAAATCGGCAGAGATCAAGATAAAGCAAACAATAAGTCAAAGAAAGGGCTATTGTGAGGCTACCTGTCTATCCAAAAAACTTAAGGCAGTGTCACTGAAAAGCTGACATTTAGGATAGGAAAAATCCAAGATACATGAATTGTTGGCAATATTTACCATATCCTGCATGTAAATGTATCACATGGTCACACAGAAGAAAAGGGAACCATTCACCAAATAATATGCTTATATGTTCACTTGACCCTTGCTGACCAATTAAATCAACCCCTTCTCTTGGCAGGCAAAATGTACCCTCCTCGGCTTTGACTAATTGTTTGCTTGTTCAGTCGTTTAGTCGGGTCCGACTCTTCGTGACCCCATGGACCAGAGAGCACGCCAGGCCCTCCTGTCTTCCACTGCCTCCCGGAGTTGTGTCAAATTCATGTTGGTCGCTTCGATGACACTGTCCAACCATCTCATCCTCGGTCATCCCCTTCTCCTCTTGCCTTCACACTTTGACTAATTAGAACTGCTTATTAGTCTTTGTTTAGAAGCCAGCTGGTTCTTGCTTGACTAACAGCATGGCGCCCATGTAGAACGATCCATGCAGGATGAGTACCGTCTAGCCCATCTCGCTGAGAAATCCATTTCTTATCTTGACTTCTTTTATCTTTCCTTCCTGCTATTCACCTCAGAAGCATTTTGCGATCTCTACAGAAGGCCTGTGAATAAAACGTATTGTTTCTCTTTGACTTCGAAGCACCATTTGGCTGATTATTGGTGCTGGTCAGTGGGATTGGTTTTGGGAACTCTGCCGTTTCATTCTAACTCCTGGGTTATTGCATCTTCCGTTGTGTAACACAGAGGACTGAAAGTTGTTCCTACTGCTACTACAAAACTCAGTATCAATCAACTAGGGAAACATACAAGAGGGGTGTTTTCACACTGAACATTCAAAGCCTGAGGCCTGCAATTTATATCATTAAAAGAGGCTAACATTCCAGCCCAGAGCTCCAGACAAAGTACAAACAAGGCTGTTTGGAGCCCGGTTGCTCCTCTGTGCGATGCTAAGTGAGCTCTAGTCTATGCAAGGAAGAGAATACGATGGTAAAGGGGGATGCTTCAGACCACAGATTTCTGATAATTTGCAAGTAAATACTAGGACGACGCCTAGGACTGAAAAGGTACCGGCCACTGCCACGTCACTCTGGCCACCCCACGTCCTTGTATCCTCTCATCCAGGAAATGGGGTCCTCTGCTGGAAGAAATCTAAGCTCGCTTACCTTTGAATCTCCTCCTCCCAGGACGTTCACCATCACCTCCATGACGGTTTCGTGCATGCCCAGGGCTCTCATCAGGTTGGGGTGCTGGTAGAAGACCTTGTTGTTCATGATGTTGCTGCCAAAGAGAAATACAGGGAGGCGGGCGGCCATCAGAGAACACACGACACAGTATGGGGGTTCAGGGAAAAGACAGGATGGTGCAGGAGGCTGCCCGTGGCATAGAGAGAGAGGTTGCAGTTGAGAAGCACCCCAGTGGAGTGCAGGAAATGCCAAGTAAGAAAGACTGGCACTAAGAAAGGCAGATATGAAAAGGATGGCCCTCCAGAAATGGTAGCTTCCATAAGCCTTCTCTATTGCGCCTGCTGGCCGGGGCTAATGGGAGAGGTAGTGCGCTTTCTCTGCGGCAGCTCCTGGGTTATGGGATGCTCTCCCTCCACTCTTTTGTCCTTCCACTGACCACTGAAGACTCTCTTTTTTTCAGGCAGGTTTTTGACCATCAGGACTCAGTCCCTGAATGCCATGTTTAAGTTAAGATTGTTTTTAAATGTTTGTCTGCTTTCAATTTCTTTCAGTCAGATTTTATTTTGTGTCTAGTTTAAATGTTTAACTTATGATGACTTTGCATTCTTGCAATATTGTGAGATGCCTCGGGTCCCCCTTTTTCAGGAGAAAAGCGGCCTAGAAATAAAAGAAAGTGCAATGATCCGTGAAGGGAACCTTTTTCCTGACTCCTGGCTTAAAACAAAGCAAAAGCCAGAGAGCTGAGCAGAAGGGTCAAGGAAGGGCTATCTCAGGAGAGGTTCCCCTTGCAAATAAGAAAGAACCAACATTCTTTCTTATTTGTGAGCTCTTATTCGTGAGCTCATTAATAGCAGCAGAAGCTTTTCAGGGGAGAAGTTCAATGCGTTGCGTCTTGGCCTGATTTCAGAA